TAACTCTTATGACAAACAGAATTTAAATTGAAGTATATAAAGAATATGAATTTACAATATGCTTATACGAAAAAACGACTGCAATTTGGTGGGCAGTGTAGCTTTTCAGATCATGAAAATGTATTAGTAGATGTTACACCTCATGCGGGATATACAAGTAATTATGTTCAAGTAAATCCTGCAACTCATGGAACCCAATGCGGGAAAACATATTCTGCTCACAAGGTAATAAATAATTCAGTAACTTATATAAATATATACGGTAATTTGTTATTAATATTGCTAGGTGAATACAAATACTGCAACATTCAAAGATGGTGGTATGTCTCATTCTGAAGGTGGCTGGCCAAAAGATTTAAATGTGAAAGACACAGAGCAAGTAGTTCGTTACAAGCGTAAAATAGAAAAGGATGAATTGTATATTCACACCATGCTCCAGTTATTACCTGTACTTTTACTTTTTTACTTCATTTTTGTTTGTAACACTAATGTTAACATTAACAGTAATACAAAGTATTTCTAGCCAATGGAACATTGTATATTACAAAACAACACTTGTAACATTTATGAACAGTACTTTAGTTACATGGAACCTGTTTCATTAACGCAGAGAGCCTATTCACGCACAGTTAATGTATATAGAGATGTTTTACCAATGAAAAGACAAATAACACATCTTTCTTGGTCGCCGGATCAGGGCAATTATTTTGCTGCCAGTTACTGTAACACCGATTTCAAGAAAAAAGCAAATGATAATCCAGTGTCATATATTTGGGATGTAGGTACGTTAAACTGGAATCATTCGAAATAAATTAGTACAAAAAATTTAATAATTCTGTAGAAAATCCAAATACTCCATGTATGTCATTAAAACCATTCTGTCCAATTTTAACATTGGAATACAATCCTAAGGATTGCAATGTATTAGTAAGTGGATTAACAACCGGTCAGGTAGCTTGTTGGGACATCAGAAAGGGATCTGAACCAGTTGAAATAAGTCCGATAGAATTTAGTCACAGAGATGTATGCAATAAAGTTTTGTGGATCAATTCTAAAACTGGTACAGAATTTTTTAGCGCTTCTAAAGATGGTCAGGTAATGTAGCGATAAAATAAAAGCGTAAATGTGTGGGTAAACAAATATATAAATTTTAGATAATGTGGTGGGATACTAGGAAATTGCAGAAGTCAACAGAAACGTTAGTGATAGATTTATGCAAACCTGAAGACCAAAATGTCGATAATGCAATTGGAATTTCTGCATTACAGTTTGAACCATCGATGGGTACACGATTCATGTGCGGATTAGAAAATGGTAAATAAGGGGTTTGGATATTTCATTTGTATTTTTATCTTAGATACTTATATATTCTTATAATTAGGTGTAGTAATCTCGGGAAATCGTAAAGGTAAAACTCCGAGTGAAAAGATTGCAACTAGATTCAAGGCGCAATATGGGCCTGTTATAGGATTGGAAAGGAATCCAACATTTGTGAAAAATTTTATTACTATTGGTGATTGGACGACTAGGATATGGTCCGAGGATTGTAAAGAATCTTGTATCGCTTGGACACCGTAAACATATCTTCCAATTTTAAATATATAATTATTCTAATGAATAACACTTGCTAAAATGATATTCCCATTATGTTTCAGTGGACACAGAAATTTCTTAATGGGAGGAGCATGGAGTGTAACAAGATTTTCAGTATTTTTTTTAATAAAAATGGATGGAACTTTAGACGTATGGGACTTACTATTTCAACAAGATTCTCCTATTCTGAGTATAAAGGTATGCTACTTTTTGCAGTATTAATATTAATATTATATTCTAAATATAACAAACATTAGGTTTGCGATGAAGTTCTAACATGTATACGACCTCACGAACAAGGACAATTAGCTGCAGTTGCTAATAAAAAAGGAACAACATTTTTGCTAGAGTTCTCAGAAGCTCTGACAACAAATCAGAAAAATGACAAGCTTTTGTTCACTACAGTAAGTTTAATCGGTATTATATAAAAAATGAAGAATATCAATCTCAGGAAAAATCCAATATTTATCGTTTTGTTGTATTTATATTATCGAAATGAACAGCTACTCGATAGAGAAACACGCAGAGAGAAGGTGATAGAAGCTAAGAATAGAGAATTGAGATTGAAAATGAAATCTCTTCGAAATACCAATATTGAAATTGATTATTCTACAGGAGGTACAAAAATCGATGAAAAATTAGATTCAAAACATTCAATTTCAGACACTCATGACGCAGTATTAAAAATTTGCGAACAAGAATACGAGAATGCTATAGAAACAGTGAGTACAATTAAAATTTGTGTAAAAATTGTTGTCATAGGTTGCGCTGAAATTAAAATATTGACCGAATTTTGTTAGGAAATTGCAAGGCAAACGAAAAAAGATAATGAAGAATTAAATGACAAACATCTAACGAATGGTGTAGCTAATTGAAGATCTTAATCTATTAATGATTATTATTTCATTACAAATAAACCAATAAAATCTATTCCATTTTATTTCATTAGTTTTTAATTTGTGCGATCTCGTTACGTTGAAATTCAGTGCAAGCAATAATGTAACTATAAAAAGTATGTATGCACATTGTTACATCGATCGATGCACACCCGCATCGTAACAGTATGCACATGTGTGTAGAAATTGAGCTTTGTAACTGTAACGTACCTTTCAACAAACACATATAAACACCTGGCGTCTTTTAATTATCGATATCAACGTGAATTCTGTGTTATTCAACGTTATTCGATATGCTTTACATGTAGAAGTGAAAAACTCTAAATTCTCGTGAATTTGATTAAAATCATGACATTTAAAAATCAGTTCAACATCAAAGCTAAAAGTTATAAAAATGTAACAAGTTTCACGAGACACGCAACACATGGAAATACAATATGCGTATACGAAATAACGAAATAGTTTTTGAGTGGTGCATTCGATCGGGGAGTAGGGGGAGTATGTATTACATGTACGGAGCATACGCGGTCGAGTGTCACATAACCTCTAAGAAATCCAGCGTAGCCATGCAATTGGGAAGACTGAATCGAATATTGAATGACTCTGCGTAAGAAATAAGAGAAAAAAACCCTATAAAATCTGTCACATTATCACACAACTATTATCTTATAATCGTACGTTTTGTTTGCTGTCACCAAATCCTTTTTTCGCAGAAGCACATGTATTACAAGCACGCTTTTCATCAAATATAATGATTACCGAACCGCATATAATTTCCTTTCCGATATTTGTTCTGTATCACCTCGGGAAGATGATTGTATACTCTCGATAATGTACTTTGTAACCTCGCAATAAGGAAAAAGAAGAAGAGCTCTGATCCTAGTCGATAATGAGAAAAACTCAAGCTTCGAATTTAAATAGCGAAACCATGGAATTAAGATTACAAAATACATTAGCAAGGAGAAAAAAACGGCAGCCTCAAGACGAAATGAATTCGCGTGCGATTAACGATAATAAGTCGCATTCGAAAAATAACGATGCGAACATTTCAACCGAGCATCACGTTTCTGTAGATAAAGCGATTACCCCGAAAAATGTAGATAAAGCTGTGAAAATATTCGACACCAACGAGGTGCACAGGTTCGACAACGCAGGCTCCACGGATCTAGACGAGTTCGCATCCAAATCGATGAACGTTGTCGTCGATATTCACCGAGAATACAAATCGGAAAAGTCCGGCGAGAATTCGGATCGTACCAGAACCTCCGAGAGAACCGAAGGTGTCAGAATGTTTTCGAAAACCAACGCGTTCGGCGACAGGAGGAGCGACCGTCAGAAATTCGGCCAGGTTCAAACTCGGAGTATCAAAAAGATGCACGACGATATAGAGATCGACGATTCGATAGACACGATAGAGGTGGTTAATTCGACGACGGCGAAAGGGGACGAGAGAGGAGAAAGAAAATTGTCCAAGAAGAACAGCGACCAGTGTTCTTCCACCGAACGGAAGTCGCGCGGTAAGGGGAAGTGGGGGGCACCGCAACGTCAAACGGACGATTTGAAAAAGCCGCCGCGGAAACGCTGGTCAAAAGACACTTCGATAATTCGTTTGCCGGAACCGAGAAGCGGTTCCTGGGCGTCGTCCACCGAAAACAAGCTTCCGTTGACGCGATCCCCGGATGATACGAAACAAGCGTCGTTCTCGGCTTACGACAACGCGGCGTTCGTCTCGGACGACGAGGAAATACTGCGAATCGAGACCGATTACAACGGCCGGGAAAATGTGAGGATAGAGATGAGGGAGTTCGCTAAGGAACATTTCGATAACTCGACACTTTCGCCGCGCGGTAGAGAAATACCGGACGCGGCTGCTGTCACTATCGAAAGCTTAGACGAGTCGGAGAACTCGAATTTCGAACGCTACGAAACATCGAGGAAAGTTCGGTCACGAAACGGGAACGGTTACGACGAGCGCGGGAAACGCGCGATTTCGAAAAATGCGAGAGGAAACTCGGATGAAAGCGACGACGACGACGGATCCGATAATTCGAACGTATCGCAGTCCTTGAGAAACGTGACCGTTCGATCGAATTATCAGTCCTCCGAGGAAACATCGACGAAACATCGACGTTCTGCGAAGAACAGAGAAACGTCTAAAAAGCGTTCTATCGATGGTCAAGGTTATGCTAGCCAAACTGTACCGTCGACGACCGAGGGTGACGATGTAAATCGCAGAAAATCGGGGGATCGTCGTGGCTCGAGAAGCGAGAACGAGAAAAGGAAAGTATCTAAAAATGTTTCCAGCTCTTCTCTGACCAGTCCGTATTCCGACGTGGCCAAAGAGGATTCGAAGAGGAGGAGGGAAAAGAAACATGGCGCCAAGTATATTTCCGTTACGATCCATAGAGCGGACATGTTGGAGATCGATTACTTGACGAAGCACCCGATGGTGAAGGTGCACATCGTGTACGCCGAAACTGGGAAATATTTGAAAAATGGATCCAGCAGTTATTTGCAGCCGATAATCACCAGCACGTTCGATTTCAAAGAGAACAGGTCCATCGTGCCCGTGTGGGAGGAGGAGATCGTCTTCGAGCATAATTTCGATTCGTTGCTGAAANGAGGAGGAGATCGTCTTCGAGCATAATTTCGATTCGTTGCTGAAAACCGATAACGATCAGGTCGTGATCTTGTTCGAGATCATCGACCTGTTGAGCTTCGCCGAGGCTAGCTTTAATTATGATAAATTTGGCAAGTGTTGCGGTACATTGTCTCGCACGATTTGTTCGAAGAAAAATTGATCGTAGTTTGGGAACTACATACAACTTCGCTGTATAACTATTATATAATAATAGTTAGTAATAATAGTTAATAATAGTTAATAATAGTTATATAATAATAACTATATATAACTATTATCGTATTATATATATATATACAGGGTGTTCCACAATTATTTTAACAGCCGAAAATGAGCCGAAAATTTCATATGTTGACCTTGACATAACCTTGGCATAACCTTGATATGTCAAGGTTATGTCAAAGTTATTGATAATATTCTTCATATTTCTCTAACAACCATATCCCTTACGTCCTTTAACCTTGACATATCAAGGTTATGCCAAGGTTATGTCAAGGTTATTGATAATATTCTTCATAATTCTCTAACAAACATATCCCTTGCGTCCTTTAACACGATTATTATTTATTAAATTAGCTTTGCGAATCATTCGTTGAACTGTATTCCGACACGGAATTATTTAAATTAAAATATCATTTACGTACTTTGTTAATTTTCACTGTACATCTTGCTTAAAAATTTCATATGTTACGCACAAGGTGTTGTGCACACTAGAAAATGAAAATGACCGTCACGGTTAAATTACTTACTATTTCGGGTCCGAAAAATTAGTAAATATTNCACAAGGTGTTGTGCACACTAGAAAATGAAAATGACCGTCACGGTTAAATTACTTACTATTTCGGGTCCGAAAAATTAGTAAATATTCTTCAGACGTTCTAAAGTAAAGGTGAACAGCGTTTCTCTTAAAAATATCACTGTTACGTAGTAAAAAAAAAAATCCGGAAAGTTCTCGCTTCATGATTTGTTCAATACTTCGAACGCGGCTCGAGTCCGTCCCGA